CACAACATGTCCAAAGTATGTTAGACGGAGCCTCAGAATCCTTGCCTCCAAATGATAGAGATACAAAATATATAAAACAAACATTAAAAACTGAAAAAAAGAAAATAGACCACTATAGTAATTGGAGTTTTCAATACACCACTCTCAAGAAAAGATAGAAAAGAAAGAAAGTCAACAAGGCTGCTGAAAAATTAAACCACACAATAAACCAACTTGATCTCATAGATATTTATAGGCTATTGCACCCCAAAAACCCACAGTATACCTTCTTCTCCAATGTGCATGAAACATTCTCCAGAATAGATCACATTTTAGGTTACAAGACAAGCATCAATAAATTAAAAAACATAGAAATCACACAAAGCATCTTCTCAGACCACAGTGCTACAAAATTAGAAAGTAATAACAAGATGATAAAGAAGAAAAAAAACCATACATTTGAAAGCTGAACAATACCTTGCTTGAACATGAGTATTAGAAGAAATAAAAAATGAAATTTAAAAGTTTCTTGAAGCAAATTACAATGAAAAAACCAACTTACCAAAACCTCTGGAAAACAGCCAAAGCAGGAATCAGAGGTCAATATACAGCAATAAGCAAACATATTAAAAGACAGGAAAAAAATGACCATTGCCTCTCTAACCCAACATCTCCAACAAATTGAAACAGAACAGCAAGAAAACCCCACACCTTAAAAAAAAATCATACCCTGAAATTATAACAACTAAGGCAGACATAAATTAAATAGAAAACAGAAAAACAGTTGAAAACATCAACAAAACCAGGTATTGTCACAATGGAACCAACTAAAATAAAAAAGTTAACAGCGGAATATTATGAAAAAATATACTAAAAAATATGAAAATCTAGAGCACATGGACAAATACTTAAATATTCACAACTACCTAAAATGACACTAACCAAAACTGAACTGAACAGACCCATTGCAAAAGAAGAAATTGAAAAGGTAATAAAACAACTTCCAACAAAGCAATAACAAAAAACAAACACCAAACCCCTAGTTTTACAAGTTAATTTTATCAAACATTCAGAGAACTGTCACCAATCCTACATAAACTATTTCTGAAAATAGAAAAAGATGGAATTCTCCCAAACTTATTCTGTGAAGTAAACATATCCTTGATACCAAAACCAGGTAAAGACACCACCAAAATAGAAAACTATAGGCCAATATCTCTCAAGAACATAGATGTAAAAATCCTGAATTAAATCCTTGCCAATAGAATCCAATGATGTTATTGTCGTTGTGTGCCATCGAGTCACCTGCGACTCATAGTGACCCTATGTACAACAGCCCAAAACTGCCCTAGCCTGTGTCAATCTCACCATCTCCAACACACCTGCTCCCATTACCCCATTCACCGAATGAATCCATCTCATCAAGGGTCTTCCCCTCCTGTGCTGTCCTTTCACCCTCCCAAGTATGATGTCCCTCTCCGAGAACTGGTCCCTCCTTGCAACATGTCCAAAGTATGTCAGACGAAGCTTACGAATTCTTGCCTCCAAGGAGCAGCCTGGCTTCACCCTCTCCAGGACAAACCTGTTTATTTTCCTAGTAGTCCATGGTATAGTCAATACTATTCTCCAACACCACACCTTAAAGGTATCAATTCTCCTTCTATCATCCCTAGTCATTTTCCATCTCTCTGATGCATAGCAAGTGATTACAACGACCATGGCATGTATCAGGTGCACCATAGTCTCCAGACTGACATCTTTGCCCTTTAGCATTTTAGAGAGGTCTCTAACCACAGACTTTCCCATTGCAATATGTCTTTTAATTTCCTGGCTGCTGGTGCCAAGAGTGTTGACTGTGGATCCAAGCAAACCAAAACTGTGAACAATCTCAATCTCTTCACCATCAATTATGTATCTTAATTATGATACTTAAAAGGCATTCAGATGGCCAACAAGCACATGAAGAAATTTTTAAAATCCCTAGCTCTAAGAGAGATGCAAATCAAAACAACTATAAAATATCATCTTATGCCAGTAAGAATAGCAAAATTTAGTAGAACAGCAAACATCAAATGCTGGTGGGGTTGTAGAGAAACTGGAACCCTTATTCTCTGTTGGTGGAAGTGTAAAATGGTGCAACCAATATGGAAGGCAGTATGACACTTTCTCAAAAAGTTGCAAACAGAAATACCATTTGACCCAGCCATTCCACTACTAGGAATATACCCCAAAGAAACCATAACCACCACACAAGCACATATATTCACACCCATGTTTTCCACAGCTTTGTTTACATACAACAGCAAAGAGCTGGAAACAACTCAAGCCCATCAACAAACAAATAGCTAGAGAAGCTGTGGTACATTCAAGCAATGGAATATTATGCAGCAGTGGAAAACAATGAACTCATGAAATATTATACAAAATGGGTGACCCTGGAGGTCTATGCTGAGTGAATTATCTCAGTCACAAAAAGACAAATACTGCATAATGCCACTATTATAAAACAAGACTGACATGGGGTTGGAAGGAAACAAAGGGGATAAATAATGTACACTGCATTGAAACAATTGAGGGAAAGAACTGTATAAAACGAATATAAGACTAGATATTATTGGTACAGCAAAAGTCCAGAATAAGCACTGCATAGTAAAGTGGACTGGAGCTGTATAACAATTAAAGATTTTTTTTTCCCCAAAGAGAAAAATGAACTGGGGAGGAAAGGGGCATGGAGGAAAATCTGTAACAATGAATGAATGGAAATCCAAGTTCTATATAAAGTTTCATCAAAATCTCGTTTTAAAAAAAAGAGAAAGATTATATTTTGAAACAGATTATAAGATCAGCATTGAATATGTTTAAATTAATGTGATTAAGCGATGATCTAGTAGAGGTGCCCCATAGCTCATGCGACATTTATAATTGGAGTCAAAGAAAAAAGTCTGCATCAAAAATGCAGGTTTTTAAATCATCCATATGCTGTAGGCTAAATAAATCAGGGAATGTGTGTAAAAAGAAGTCCAGAGGGCTGAGGAAGGAGGTAGGAAAAACACACATGGAAATTTATAACACTTATTTGCAAGAAGTAAAAGAAAAAGATATCTGTCCAACAGAGGACTAAAGCTGACTGACACCAGTTCTCTTACTCACAATAGGGTTTGATTTTATTTCTATTTCTACTTCTATTAATCACTCTATTGTCAACAGAAATGGTAATAGAAGAGATTATGTAGCTATTTTATGTTATTATAACTGCACTCTGGTGATTATGAGTAACACTTCATATTCTCATAAGATATAGACTAAAAGATAGTTCTCCAATATGGATTGAGGCTCAATGCCAAGGAAACAAAGATTCTCACCACTGGACCAATTGCAACATCAGGATGGATGGTGAAGAGATTGAGATTGTTCACAGCTTTAGTTTGCTCGGCTCCACAGTCAACACACTTGGCACCAGTAGCCAGGAAATTAAAAGACATATTGCGATGGGAAAGTCTGCTGTTAGGGTCCTCGCCAAAGTACTGAAGAGCAATGGTGTCACTCTGGAGACTAAGGTGCATATGATACAGGCCATGGTCTTTACTATCGCTTGTTATGCATCAGAGAGTTGGACAATGACTAAGGAGGATAGAATGAGAATTGATGCCTTTGAGCTGTGGTGCTGGAGAAGAGTATTGAGAGTACCATGGACTGCTAGGAAAACCAACAGATTCATCCTGGAAAGGGTTAAACCAGGCGGCTCCTTAGGGGCAAGGATTCTAAGGCTCCGTCTAATATACCTTTGACATGTTGTGAGGAGGGACTGGTCCTTGGAGAGAGATAGCATGTTTGGGAGGGTGGAGGGACAGCGCAGGAGAGGAAGGCCCTCTATGAGGTGGATTGATTCAGTAACTTGGATAATCGGAATAGGAATGTCAAAGATAGTGCAGTTGGCACAGGACAGAGCAGAGTTTATGGGTTTTGTACATAGGGACACTATGAGTTGCAAGCGACTCGATGGCACATAACAACAACAACAACAACAAGAAGAAGGGATAGTTCTAATGCGTATTATTTAGGTTTCTTATTTTGTACTCTTTCAGCCTGAATTTGAGTATGGTGGAGGAATGCTGAGTCATTAATTGAACAATCAGCCCATTAACTATGTAGTGCTGTACTCTAAATAGCATCAGCAGTGGATTACAATAAACTTAGAAAGAGGAGTATCATTTACCCACTATTGTCTCTATGATTGACTTTATGATATCCAACACTTATTTCTTTGGAAAAATTTGGACAACTTGGTAATCAAACATGACAGAAATAGTAAATGCATTTTATGACCACATCAATAAGGTGGCTCTAAATCAACAAGTTTAAGTTAGACTGGAATAAGTGTAAGTTCATACCCTTATATTCTGAAAAGTGAGTATATAACTAAAGGATGAAGGGTGAGTGTAATGTGAAAGCCCCCCCTATTGGGCAACACTGACGCAACATATTATCTGAGTAAGAATTCTATGTTCTACCTTGAGAAATATTTGGAGTATTTTAGATGTGGTGCCACTCCAATCAATAGAGGGACCTGGAATGGAAACGAATTCGTGTGAGCAATGGGTTGAGAGTTGTCTAGTGACTAGCAGAGAGGGACTATAGGTAAGCAGAAGGTTACTATGTTTTAACAAAGATTGGAAGCACTGCCCCATCTAAGAAAACTTAGATGCAGACAGTGAAGTTTCAGAAGTGAAGTGCTACAAATGGGAAGAAAATAAAGGAAGACAGTTCATAGTGTGAGAAACCTATTTCTTCTCTTCCTAATGGTTATAGGTAACCTTGTGAAGGGGTCTGTTTCCCATGACCTAAAGTTTTAAGCAAAGTGACATGTAGAGAAAAACCTTGGAGAGGGACAGAAATTCAGCTAGACCACCTACATGAAGTTGAGCTCATGCTGGGAATGCCCCCACCCCCATCCTGCATGAAGTCTTGATTCATCAAGTACTTTTAATTTTATTTTGTTTTGGTTTTTTCTCCCCATATAGAGATAATTGCATCTACAAATCTCATAATTCTACTTGAGGATGAAATATTTGCAGATTTTTTCAACACATTTCTTTCTCTCCCAGTAAGTATTCTCAAACTCAAACTCAAATGTAAATGTGTTGTCAGTAGGTGAACAGCAAATGTTACTGAGCTGAGTGTCATTATATTTAGTCTAAATGCCTTATCAAAATTATTTCAATCAATTTAATACATAAATATGACCCAGAACCCTAAAATTCCCACAGACTTTCAATTGTTGACAATCAGATCTCAATCGCCTGTCTAATTGTCTTTATCTGTCCAAAGTTATTTCCTATTTTACCTTCTGCTGGTGCCTAGTGCACACCTGACATTTGTCTACCTCTTCACTTCTCTTCAGACTACTTTCTCTTCAATAAATACCTTCCTTATAGTTTCACCTACCAAAGTCTTACTTTTCTTCACACCTCTACTTAAATCTCATTATAGTTAAGAAGTATCTATGTTCTCCCAAACAGAATTGCTTTTTCCCTGCCTTCATTCTCCATTGCACTTTGCATCTGTCTTGTGAGGGGAGTGTTATTAATGCTTTCCTCACTCAGTTGTGAATTTCTGCAAGACAGGATGGTGGTTTATTTCTTTTGCTTTGCACCACTCATCAAGTGTTAGCTAATTGTTGACTAGAACCAATCATGTATATGTTCTCAATCTAGGCCATTAAAACAAACTTCAAATATCAAACTATTTTTAAATGCAAACCAGTGTTAAGAATAGTCAGCAATTACTTAACACCTGGTTAGTGGTGTGGAGCAAAATAAATAAACCACCATCCACCTGATCTAGTCCATGGTCTTTGCAATTACTTGCTATGTATCAGAGAGTTTGACAATGATTAAGGATGGCGGAAGAATTGATGCCTTCGAATCATGATGCTGGAGAAGAGTCTTGAACATACCATGGACCACCAAGCAAACAAATAGATCTTTCTTGGAGAAGGTGAAACCAAGTTTCTCCTTAGAGAAACTACAGAGCTACTACATAGACTACATGATCTTACTACATGATACTTACTATGTAGTAGACTAGAATTTTGAAGCTCTGAGAGACTGATTCTTGGAGAAGGACATTATGCTCAGAGGGGTGGAAGCGACAGCACAGGAGAGGTAGACCCCATATGAGATGGATTGATACAGTAACTAGGGCAATGGGCAATGGGTGTCAGAGTCAGTGAGACTGGCTCAGGACAGGACAAACTTCAGAGCTGTTGTACATAGGGTTGCTATGAGTGGCAGGCAATTCGACAACAGCTAACAACAACAACACTACTACTCTTTTTTTTCCTATAATTATATTTTATTAATTTTCATAAACATTTACAGAGATTTTGGGTTTCCATTCATTCACCGCTGCACCATTCTCTCTACCCTCCTCCCAGTTTGTTCTTGTCCAAACGCCACAGTGCTTATCAAAGCCAGTTCTGATTAATCTTCTTTGTCAGTGTGTCCTTTGCCATTCCCTATCACTCCT